TTATCCCGCGTGTTTTTTGTTTGGAGTCTCGAGAGAATAACTACTAAAAAAGGGTAGCCGACGAAATAATAAATATATTCTGAAATTAAAAATCTTCCCCAACCCTATCTTTTCCTAATAAGTGCCTCGGGAGTAAGGGATAAAAAAAAAAATTTTTACCATAAAATTACTTACGTGCACGTCGCTATGCACACCAATAGAAATAAGGTTGTGGTGATCATTTCCCTCGCCTTTTGTCTGCTTGATCCCGTGATTATCAGCAATGAGTACCCTGGTCCTACTGGGTTCCGGGCTGCTGTCACCGCTGCTCGTGAATCGGTCCTGTCACTTCTGGTTGAACCCTCGGCTTCTTGATTTCAAATCGTCGTATTCTCACGGCACTGCACAACGTGTGCTTCTCGGCGGAATTTTTTGAAACGCATAAAATAAAAAAATTGGTCGTGGGACCCACGATAGAAGTAAAACTTTAAGTATCAAATATTGAACTCATTTTATACAGAAAATTATATGAGAATCAATCATATGTGTTATTGCTACGAGTTAAATAAGTAATTTTCTTTCAATAACATTAAACAAGTAAAAAAAAATTCGTATTTGAAATGGCTGAAAATCATGTTTTCATCTAACCGAATTGCAAGGGGAGCGAGGCATAGAGAAAGGCCGTCCCACGTCCCACTCTACGCGTATGTGCACTGCTCTGGTGGCAAGGGGGACGAGGCAGAGAGAGAGAGAGAGAGAGAGAGAGCGCCTGGAGTTGGAGTAGTAGGGATGCCTGTTAGTATAGCATGTGGTGGCAAGGGGGACGCGGAGGGAGAGAGAGAGAGCGGCTGGAGTGGTAGGGGGCTCAGAAATTTCGTGTCGCTCGAAAAAATTCACAACGTGCCATAAGAAGTTTCACTTCAAAAAAAAATTTCCGATTCTCACCAAACCCCATGCACACTTAGCACCAAACTGTTACGTGGGAACATTATCGGTGAGGAGGTGCGTCGCGAGAATGACCAACAGCTTTATTAAAGATACCAAAATTAAAGGCAAAGTAGCGCATGTGCTTGGTCTGTCCGATCTCCTATGTTCGCCTGACCTCCTTGAACTCGCCTGACTGCCCGACTGCCGAATCCCGCGAGAGCCGCGACTAGAGTCCCGACTAGAGAGCCCGACTAGAGAACCGACTAGATAGCCCTGATTATAGGCTCACCGGGCCTTATATAGCCTTGTCCTCCTCCTGTCGATGGTCTCTTGCTGAGATCGCCTCGCTGTTGTCAAGGGGGGTCAGTATGATATGCCCTGCATATCGTACGTAACAGAGCTTTCAATGTTTTAAAGGCTGCTGTATTCAGTGAGGCTTCAAGCTGTACTTTTCTTTTAGTTGCACATCTGAGATGACTACATGAGATTAAATTATTTCTTGGATAAAAAAAATCCTGTAAAAAAATACAGTATCTTCTGCACGTATATGGAGTTTAATTTTATTATTGGAACAGCTGATTTGGATAAAACAAATATATTTGTATCACCAGGGACGATTGAGTGTTCTGGCTTTTTCTCGTTGTTTTGAGTGAAATGTACACAGCATACCCTACCTACGATAGAAAAATGTTTGACTGTTTGTTCATTCGTGTAAAAATATTCATATATAAGTGAACACGATGGCATATTGTGAATATTAATTTATTACACCACTCGAGTTCTCAAGTAAGTGTCATGAGTGCATGTGCATCTTAAAGTAAACAAAGCAGACTACACAATTCCAACATGGCGGAATTACGGATGTGCGCAGGAACAGTCTCAATTTGAATCGGTTGGGTCACACACCTTATTTACTTATGTCATGGTTAATAGTAGAGTAGGGGAGTGAGTACCTAACGAATAAGTGTAAATGTAAATGTCTTGTTGGAAGAGAAAGACAGAAAATGAAGGTGGGGCGCTTTTACTGGTCACTCTGTTTAACAAATAATTATTAACAACACAAGCACCTATCACCTGGTAACCCGGGGCGCTTATTGCGAATCTAGCAAATAAATAATTATTAATAAATAAGTAAAGCACCTATTTTCCGATGACCCAGGACACTTATTTGCCACACTATTAAATAATAAAAAGTTAATTGATAATATATGTAAACAATTTAAAATTTGGATTGATTGTCTATAGTACGACAAAGATCTCTTTAATTGGTGCTCTTATAAGTGATTGATAATTTATTATTTAATAATTGCCTGTAAGCGCCCTGGGTCTTTGGTTGATAGGCGCTTGTGTTAATTATTAATTTTTATTTATTCAACAGAGTGGCCATCAGTAAGCGCCCCGTATCATTGGGTGATAGGCGCTTGTGTTATCAATACTAAAATTTTTAATTTTTGCGGTTCGTGGGTACTATCTTTGGCAATGCCCCTTCACTGCTGTCTGCTCAGCGGAACATTCTCCGTAGATGGCATAGCTATGTATACAATCTAGGGAAAAATTTCCGATATTGAATTCGTCCAACCCAACGCTGTTTACTAAAACTAGTAGTATATAACTTAATATGGCGGTCAGGTGGTGCTCGCTAACAGTAGTTGTTAAAAGATGTATGGTATTTGAGTTTGGATCGTTCCAAAAGCTAAAAATCGCAGGCACGCGTCTTAAGTGCAGATTCGTTATCGGCTTAGTAGATTTTAGGTGACGTTTGTAATGAGTCTGTTATTATTAATGTGAAGGATCCTTTATTAACAAAAAATTTTTATTTAATTTAAATAACCTATGTATGTACAATACCTAATAAATATACAATATACACAATATTTGTATGCATATTGGTTTTATAAAGCTTCCTTAACAATTTGTATCCTCTTTTATAAGTTAAAGCAGTTTAGGCACACGAAATTTTAGATCTTAGCTTTTAATTGGAACGCTCTAAAAGTATGCACCTGCCTGCGCCCTGTCTTTTGGAATACCCTTATTACTAGTAGAGTGGGGAGTCGACTTAAAACGCGTCTAGTTGGTAGAAAGAGAGGGCAAATAAGGTGATCCTCTATGTATAGATATACTTCCAAAGTTTTTATTCTTGTAGGTGGGGTGATGAAAGGTCTTTTCATTCTCTGTCTTTCTCTTCCAATAAGACATTTAAGGCCTACGCAGTACAAAACACAAGCATATGCACAGGCACAGTGCACAAGAATAACATTGGTTGGTATATCTATATCTGTAAAAACGTAAAGCACAACGCGTTGTGCATTATGTATATAGGTACATCAACCAATGTTATTCTTGTGCACTGTGCACTGTGCACCTTACGTCAATTTGACTGCGTAGGCCTTTACACTTGTGCGTTAGGTACTCACTTCCCTATTCTATTAGGGCTCGGGCACATGGAACCGCGTAAAGCGTAAAGCGTATCGCATATCGCGTAAAATTATAGGATCAGGGAAAGTTAGGTAAGGTGCGCTTTACGCAAAAAAATTTGTCATCGCGCACATGGGAGTCAAAAATACGCACGTAAGTGTTTTAAAACCAATCACAGCGAGTATTTCGTTGGCTTTGCGCATGCTCTCCCGCTCGCACTCCTGGCAAACATAAAGTTGCGCCCGTATTATTGTACCCATGTGCGCGATGACAAATTTTTTCGCGTAAAGCGTAAATAAAGTACGCAACCTGTAAATACAGTCAGCAGCTAATGTCAACAACAACAATTACAGTATCAATTGTATAATTATTCGAATTTCTGACATGGATGAAAAATAAATCGTAAGAACTTTGGGAAAATTGTGGAAAGTCTATACGACCTATGCAATGACCCAATATCGCAAAGAAAAAGTGAGAAGTGTAACGATTTAAGCTGTATGGAATGTATTAACGGCTCTCAAATAAAAAGAAAAAAAGTAGTATACACTTGAAAGCTTTTTTTTGGACATGTTTGCAGGTTAGAATTCACTTGCGTTGAGAGCTTCGAAAGCTTCTTTTGTTAACAAGACAGCAGATTGGTCAACTCCCCTCTACTTCACACACTTACGCGATACGCGAGGCATCTACGCCTTTCCTATGTGACCACAAAGTGGCGTATACCTAACCTTCCTTACTTTTACGCGGTACGCTTTACGCTTTACGCGCTTCCATGAGCCCGAGCCCTTAGTAATATTTCTATGCAAATACTTTAAACAAATCATGCCTACATGGGATGGGACCAATGGGCATCACCTGCCCGTATCCTGTGTATCTTACACTGTGAAGTCTCATGCCGTCATAGAGATTACTCTATTAGGCTGCGTTAAGATGTAACGTCAATAGTAATCCGCAATCCATTTGAATGTACGGCTACGAGAGAGATGAAGGATCATCATAGAGGTATAAGGATAGAGTGTGCTAGAGGCTGAATACAGCGATACGGTAAAAGAAAGAGATGGTTGCCGAGTGTCCTCTCTGTCTCTTTCTACCCGAGCGCTGTAATTGGCTGATACTCAAGAGGCAATAACCTATGTCAGTAACTGCCGCTGATGGCCAGAATACCCCCTTGAGCAGCAGCCATTCAGCCAATTACAGCACTCAGCAAGAAAGAGATGGAGAGGACACTCGGCGACCATCTCTTTCTTTTACCGTATCGCTCCCCCTTACGTACATTAGTATAATTAGCGCACTCTATCCTTATATCTCTATGAGGATCATTCTTTTTTTTTTTGCACTTCTGCATTTAAACTATTTAAACCATAGACATATAAGAAATAGACTGCTCGTTCTTGTGTACGGCGCTGAAGAACAAGTAGAAGGAGACACAACACCGAAAGTGTATATGTCTCTCTCGCACATTGCCGAAGGTGGGAATGTGCGAGAGAGGTAGATTCCCACGATCGATTTTGTCTTCTACTTGTGCTTCAGCGCCGTACATAAGAACAAGCAGTCTATTTTCCTTATATGTCTATGATACATGCCGTAACGTAGAAGAAAGCAGCAGTCTATATGTATTATATGACCACGGTTTTAAGTTTTGGTAAATGTTTTGCTCGAATGAAAACTGATCACCGATCTTAATGCCTTACTAAAAGAGTGAACTCACAGTCAACTTCGATTATAAATAACCGGCACAACCGAGTTAAGCACATAGTACTGAACAAGTTTTGTTTTGTTCTGTGGACGTTAATTATCCGACACAGGAAAAAAGATGGAAATTGTCCTGGAGCGCATTGGTCCCAAGAAAGACATTATCGTTGTGAATAAAGAAATTGTAAGTGGAGACAATTTGAACACTTAAGCTATCAGTCCTGTTAATACTTTCCGAGGCCTTTGTTTTTGCCGATTTTGTGAGGTTGTTACTAGGTCCAATATGGTTGATTTTTCTTCTGGACTTTAATTATGGAGAAATCTTCTAAATTAATAATGTTTGAGTTAAGAGAATTGTTCATTTTTTATTTTCTACTGCTTTTTATTTTTCGTTTTATTGAATTCTCTTCATGCATTAAAGTGTTAGCTAATTTTCTACTTGACAACATTATGTGATAGAATTTTGTTTTTTATCTTAGTAATGCAAATTATTGTTACAGTTTTCATGTGGACGAATGAAAGACAATGACATTATATGTCTCAGTCTTCTGGTATCAAGGAAGCACTGCACTTTTTCTCGATTTCCCACTACTCTCTATGTATCTGATTTAGGGGTGAGTTAACAATTTCATGCAGGGTATTTCATTTCATAATTTACGTTTTATTTTTTGAGGGCAGTGCATAAGGCTTCAGTAGCTTTAGTTGACTATGTATTGTAGATGGTAGACAGCACCACCGCATCTACAGAAAATAGCTGTTTTTTTACATCGATTTTTCGCGTACTTCTGAAATGCCGAACGCAACGACGTTTTGGTAGGTTGTAGAGTTACTCTTTACATGTACAATGCCGTTTGAAAAATGGCAATATGTAAAAAAACCAGCCACGTTCACCTTTTTTGCGGAGGGATCATTTTTTGCTTCTTGCAGCCGTTTGCAAAAGTTTACAATCGATCGTCTTGAAATTTGGTGTGGATGTTGAGGGACACAAGATATACCTTGTATTCAATTTTCAAGTCGTAATATTTAAAGAAACGCGAATCATAGATTTTTAATAGAACGGTCCTACGCAGCACTTTTTTGCAAATTGCAAAAAAATGGCTGGAATGATTTTATCCCACCGAAGCTAATTTTCTTCGTCTTGAAATTGCGCATCTTTTTTACCACCAATATAACTTTTTCGTACGACTCTCCAGTTTTTCTCTAGACGCAAAAAACTATTTTTGGCCACTATTAACATTTTTTTGGGCCGTTAGCTGATACAATTTTGAGTCTGAAACTATTTAGATTTTTTCTGAAAGTGCTTAACTACCACCCAGAATTTTTCGCGTCAGAAGCAATTTTTCAAAAAACCATGCTTTTTTGCTAATTTTATCATACTTACATGTAAAATTACAAGGGTGTACTTAGACAGCAACCAATAAGATTTTAAGGCTAAGTAAGAGCCATCTTAGTGGATTTAGGCGCGATATTTAAGCATGTACAATATTAGTTAATAAATATTTCTAGGTTGAGAGTTACTAAAAATTAGTTGAAATTAAGAAAATTTAAGGGATGGGAAAAGATAAATTATTTTTATAAAATAAACTAATTTATTAAACCATCTTATAGAAAGTAAATTTAATTACGCTATGGAATTAATTATGGTTATTAACGTATAAATTGAGTATGGTTATGTTGCCTTATATGCTAGACGTAGTATTAACTTAACTTTCTTTTAACAATTTGGAGTTACTTTTGATATTTAGTGAGGATTCGTTTGCCAGCTGAATCTTGTATAAGTTTTGATTAGAATAAGTGTTTCCTTTGGAATAGTATATTTCTGAGGAATGGACTAAATAGTTTGATTCAAAAACTTTTTAAAAAATTTCAGGCTTTTTACAAAAATGTATTGTTCCATGAAATTCTTCAATCGCTCAATTCATAAAAGAGTTGATTCAAGAAAATGATCGGAATTTATTATTTCATGTTAAAATGGAAACAAATAAATGTACATGAACGTAGAGACAAATATTTCAAAAATTTTTTATTAATATTAATGNAAAAAAAAGATACAAATCAAAAGAACCAAACCAGGAGGTATAAATGGGTCATGGGACCCATGGTAAGAACGAAGTTCTTTAAACATGAGATGACTATAAAGACACACAATTTTTCAGGTTACAAGGGGGTCGCCAGACCCATAGGAAAAACGAAGCTCTATAAAATTAAGTACCGCATTCACGTAGTTCACTAAAACAAAAATTTGAAAAACGAATTTAAAAAAAAAAATAAGAAAATTAGTTCAGTACTCACGATAGTTGAACTTCGTGAGTACTGTATTTATGCATGACGTACATGAATGCAGTACTTATTTTTATAGAGCTTCGTTTTTCCTATGGGTCTGGCGACCCCCTTGTAACCTGAGAAATTGTGTGTCTTTACAATCATCTCATGTTTAATGAACTTCGTTTTTACCATGGGTCCCATGACCCATTTATACCCCCTGGTTTGTTTGAATCATTTGTATCTTTTTTTTTTTCCTTTTTCTTAATTTTCATTTTTCTATTTAACCTCCTTTTTTTCATTCCTTCTTTTATTTCTTTTTTTGTTCATTCCATTGTATATGTTCATGTCTTTTTTAATTTCATTTAATTTTTTTGTCATATTTCTTTTCATTATTTTTTTATTCAATC